GAACGCAGAGAGTATAAAGAGAAATATATAGAAAGAGATGCAAATAAGCATGATATTAATCGATCGCATTCTAGAGAACCGCGCAACTCACATTCCAGGTATAGAATAAAATCATTAATAGATCATTGTTATTTTAAATAAATTAATATTTTCATTATTTTAAATATTTTTAAATTATTTTCAATTTTTTATGACTTGGATAATACCAAGCTTGATTGATTTATTTGTAAAACGGATGAGAAAAGGAGTGCCAAATTACTTTTTAATAAGATTATGAATAGTCATTCGTAATCTTTATTATTATAGGTCGTTTATGGAAGAGAGATCTTATCGTGATAGATATCGTGAAAGATCAAATGAACGTTTTCATGAAAGAAGAGACAGAGATAAGGATAGGGATAGAGATAGAGATAGAGAGAGGGAAAGAGAAAGAGAGAGGGATAGGGAGAGAGACAGAGAGAGGGACAGAAATAGAGACAGAACTAAAGATAGAGATAGATCCAGAGAACGAAGGGATATAGCACCGCATTATATTGAATCACCAATACCCGTACCTATATATTATAGCGTAAGTAAAATATATACAAACTATTAATTTAATGAATGTTTCTAGAGTTTGTTGGAATTCAAATTTATTTATTTCTTATTAATATATATTTAGAGTTTTCCTCCGAGACCAATCGTAGTAGGCCCTATGGTTCCATTAAGAGGACAGATTCCACCTATGGCAAGAGGGAGACATCCTCCTTTAATGGCACCAGTTAGACCATTTCAACCACGATTTCCTCCAGATATGTACAGATTGGGACATCCACCTCCAAATCCAAGTAAATATATACATAAAAATATAAATGTATATACGTGTGCGTGCGCGTGCATGGTTAAAGAAACAAAATTTAAACGGGTAAAATAAAAACTTAGAAACTCCATTTAATTAATTTTAATTATATTGAAATGTACTACATAATGTGTCATTTACAAATTATTCTTATGTACATGCCATCGCGTCATTTGATAACCATTACATCTTGAAAATGACATTTTTCAAATGACTATCTCTTGAGTGCAACTTCGAAGTATTGATAAAATAATAAATATATTTATAAGGAAATTGCAAATATCACAGTTGAAATGTTGCAAAAAGTCGTGCGAAACTTCAGAAAGATTGCAAAAATGCAAGTATTACTTAAGAGTTTTTAAAAAATCATTTTCAAGATATAATATGATTATCAAATGATATGGTAGCCGAATACATAAAAATATATAATAAAATAATTTGTAAATTGTGTATTATGTTATACATTTAGATGTAATTAAAATTAATTCAATAAAATTTTTAATTTTTGTAAATTTTCTTGGTTTTTTGGGCCACTCCGTATATATATATATATATGTATATGTGCGTGCGTGCATGTATAAAATATAAAATTTCTTTTACAGGATATGGACCATTTTGAATCAGTGTATATCTTCATATATTGTCAATTATGAAGACAATAGTTATCAATAATAGTATAGATGTTTTAATATTCACCTTATATTTATATGAATCCCAACATGGATAATATACGTATTTCCTAGTTATTTTTTATATGATTAGCGATCAATATATAACAAGTATTAAGCATTCAAGCATTTTATTGCATTA